ATAAATCCAGGCACCTTCATGCAGAATAGTTCTAAGTCACCTTCATCCCTACTAGCCATCAGAATAAATATCCAACATTTTACCATGAGCTCGACTTAAATCTATGAACAACACAACTCTTAAGAAAAAACAGTTTCACTGTGGATTTCAACACAAGAAATAGGAGCAGATGTATTTCATTGTCAGTCTTGCTGTCATCTGAAATCTCACTGGAGAAACAAGTAGGAAAGAGTCCAAAGAGTGCACTCCTCAGAACGGACATGGTTGTAATAGGCAATCTGTTCCAGCAGACACAAAACAGATTTCCCGAATCAAATGTATTCAATTCAGCTCATTTCCTTTTGTTATAACAGACACTTTCTCAGCTTTTCTAGAGCTTTAGGAGAGGGAAACTGACAATTGTAGAAATAAGATGAAATCGCTACCAAGACACTGAGTGAATGTACATTTAAAAATTTAAATATATAATAGTTAGAAACAAGGAACTGAAGTCAGAACTCTTGGGTTCCATTTCCAGAGTAGTTATAATGTTGGCAAGTTACTTATCCGCTCTGTGCCTCCGTCTATTGATCTATAAAATTAGTAGAATGTTTTCCTACTTCACAGGGAATTTTGGAATGATTAATGGTTACAAATTATTTTGAAATCTTTGGATTAAATGACTTGTTGACGTGCAACAGGAGTAACAGGAGATTAAAAAAATGATTTTCTCTTTTTACAAATACCATTAGCAAGTAAGGACTCAGTTCTGATTTCACATACCTGCCCAAGGATCCAAGATCACAAATGACTCAAGATTTATTGTTTAGATTGTTATCAAACGTTCACACTAGCAACACTTTACATTTCTGTTGTCCAGGATCCGCAACTAAACTGCCGGTCAGCTGGTTTATGTTTCCCCCTATTACCTTCCAGTGTTAACCCTTCTTAAAGAATCTCATTACTCCCAACTATCACATGAACTCAAACAAGCATTACTACATATGGAAATCATCTTGGCTGGCAGTACTTTGAGTGAAAGTCTGGTCTAGAAATTACAGACAGCTCTGACAGAATCCATGATCACATCTCTCTGCCACACATGGACCAGTCCACACTGCATACATAATGGACTAAAGCATCCAGAGTCACTGAGGCATAGCACATTTTACAATGTTAAGTGACCAGAACCAGGTCACATTATGCTGCACTATTCACCCAGTAAGACACACACGCTATTGGGAGGGATAGCCAGAGTCTGTACGCTTCAGTCACGTGACAGAATTACAAAGGCAATGGGCTACTGGCCATTACTTTGAAATTAGCGCAGGATCAGGCTCTGGCAGCTGCTTCTAGTAAGGATCAAGTCTACAGCAATACGATTAGATTCAGACCAGCTGATTGTGCACTCCTTCCCCTCCCCCAAAAACAATTCCAATCTGCCGCTGATGGCAACAATGCTGACAACAGACAAAGACACCAGTGCTACGGTAAACAGAGAGATTACTTAAATCTATATATAAACTATACCTACATATATGCCCACACAACTTTACACACAACAGGAGAGAGAATGTACTTTATTATACGCTCCATTACAAAAACAACTTGTATCAGCCTCCTAAAGAAATTCAGAATGCCCAGATCCAAAGGTGTTTTATTTTTAAATCTGTTTTGCCATTGTCAAAGATCACCATCTATGTTCTGAGTAGAGTTGTGAATAGAGATTAAGTAGGTATGCTATGAAATAAATGTTTCATACCTGTACAGAACACCACAGACAACTGAATAGTACTGAAATGTGAATTGTGAGTATAATCCAAAACAGTATTTTGCCTGCATTACTTTCTAAAAATTTAATTCTCACAATAGCATATTAAATTGTTGAGCTATATTTCCCAACTGCAGCTAGTTTTATTGTATGTTATATGAATGCAAATAAAATAATAAACAACGGGGAAATGGTTACTCTTTGCTTCAGCAAAAACTCTCTTTTTCAAGTGTTTTCGGATAACATTTTGTAGCGGTCATGTTTAACTTTTTTTTTTTTTAAAGTAAACATTGAGGAACTATGCACTGACCTTTCAGTTAACTAGCAGTGATCCAAGAAACTGTTACTGCAGACACACAGAATAAAATAAATTACACTGGTCAGGATTAAGCTGGCCTCAGCAAGTTAAAAAAACAAACAAACAAAAAACCCCCAAAAGTCCAAACCTCTAAGCAACCAGGGCAAGTTTCCTAACCTGGCTTGTCCGTCATTTCATAAGGAGCCTCTTGAGAGAGGGGTCCATCACACTTTCCAGAGTGGCTCAGTTGATCAGAACTTTGGTAGCAAGGGATTTGGGATTTTCCCTCAGACTTTCTTCTCAATGTTCTTCCTATTTCCCTCTGCTGTTATATTATGCTAGCTGACCACCCAGCAACTTCACTTGTAATTGGTCAACAAGTTTGGCACTCTCAACTACTATAAAACTGCAGGAGAAATCTCCTGCATGCCAGGAAGCAAAAGTCCAGACCAGAGCATAAACTAAAACATGGTCTCCTAGTGCTGATACTGTCTTTCACCTAACAGGGCATCTTAGTAAATGAAACTAAGATTTACAATGTCTACTAAACGAAGGCCACTTCCCGCCCTTGTAATTCTGTACTGAAAGCAAAATTATCAGCTCACTCAATCCATGTGTATCTCAGCTGAGCAATGAGAGGGCAGAGAAGCAGCATATTCCTTGATGAAGAGGCAGGGTGACAAGATTGAGCACCATGCAGTCGAGAGCCCCTGGGGAGGAGGAAAAATTATTGAAGACACCTTATGGAATCTTTCATTAAAAAAAAAAAGAAAAGCTGAACTATTCCAGTCTCCACCCCCATGTCCCCATATACAATTCCAGCAATGCTCTTCTGGTACAGACTGTGGCTGACAGATGTATAAAATCAAAATGGATACCTTTCTGGCATACTTACTATAAATAGATCATGAATCAAAGGTATCAATACTGAGAAAAAAACCAACTGATAAGAATCGAGAACATTTATGGACTCCAGATGTGACTGGAGCTGCCTCCATCATCATCTGCTCTGATACCAGGCAATCATTCAGAACCTGCTTCTGGACCAAGAGCCTAACTACTGCCTGTTTAAAAAGGGCAGCTGGCATCCTGCCCAGTGTTAAATTATTAACAATTCCTGCCAAGTGTGAGCTCAGTACGAGCTCAGTACCACCCTGAACTGACTTCAAAGGGGCTACTCACATGATCACAAGAGAACTCACTAGGTCGGCTACTGAGCATTGTCCACACTGACGCTTAAGTTGGCATAAGTTATGCCACTCAGGGGGGTGGCCGTAGTGTAGCCATCGCCTAAGTGACTTTCCCAAAGTCACCTTGGATGTGTGTTGCAGAGCACAGAATTGAACCCAGTCTTTCAAATCTGAGGCGAGCAGCACCCTAACCATCAGACCATCATTACTCTCTACCTTTCTCTTTCACCTTCTCTTTCGAACAGATTAGTAGGTGACAATTTTGGAAGGGGGTGGAGGCAGAAGCCCTTGACCTCTCAGCTCCATTTCCCCGGACTACCTCGAACAACAATGCATAAGAGCGTTGTTATCTGGATTGGGATGCTTTGCTAACATGTTCAGAGAAATAGTGAAAGATGCTGACGTTTACATGGCCATTATTAAGTTTGGGCATTAACACACATTGAAGTGAATGGGAGCAGTTCACATCTCTCAGAGCTAGGCATCTGGAAGGGTTTCTTTGAACCATAAGGACTAGAAAATTAATCTTTTAAAAATGAAACTTTAGATATTGTGCAGCCATATTCTGGGGCAGGAGGCCAAGGAATTGCAGAAACTATGGACTCTGCTTTATTTATCCCAATATTTTATACTACAACACTTAAAAATTCTTATAGAAATAACTACTGTAATAGTCCCCTCCCCCATCTCCCATGCACAAGGGGTTATAGTAAAAAATTCTTATTTTAATAGCTTATTAGAATGTGTTCATTGTTTCCAGGTCCCTGCTTCCACTTCCCAGTAGGAGACAGTGGTTGGGGCTCTGCCGAGGTACATTCCTGCAGGACTCATCGGGGCAAGAACAAGGAACTGACCATCAAAATTCCAGCCAAAGTGCACAGATTTTGGAGACCAGAAATGCCAGACATTTCTCCTGCAAAAGGAGCCTAGTAAGGGTATCCAACCACAGCAGGTTACGGGGCAGGCAGCAAACACACAGTCTGGGGAGAGCAGCACAAAGAGAGCTGAATAGGCATTCAAGGCAATGTGGAGGCTACTTCTGAAGAGCCACCAGAGGAGCAGGAGACACTGCTTTCCTCTAGAGCTGCTCTCGTCAGCAGGGTCTCACCAGTTCTTTCCCCAGCAGCTGCAGCTGCTCTCCCAGGCTCCCCTGGAGGGGAAAAGCATGTAAAGGAGAGTACAGGAGCCAGTAAGAGCAGCTGCAGATGCCAGCAGAATAAGCAAATAAGCAGGACTAACTTCAGAAAATTGCTAGTGTAGCAGAGTTCAGCGCCAGGAGTAGCTCTACGTAGCTCTAGAGAAAAACAGAATCCTAGGCTCCCCACTGGGCTATTCAGATACAATCCCATAGTACTCCACAGCCCCACACAGAGCACTCCCTCCCTCCTCCAGCTGGAAGTACCCACAGTTTGTCACTCTCCCCATTCCCGGGAAGTGTTTTTCACATCCCCAGGCTCTTGGGGTTTGGCAAGACTACGAGGGATTTCTCGTCCCATAGGCAGTCTCTAGACATGGGACTGTATCCCTCAGTTTTCTGGCACTGGTCTGATGAGCCCAAATACAGAGCAATGCCCTCAACCCCCTAACTCCTAGAAGGAAGCAGAGGCAGGAGCGGGCACGCAATTCTATCTAAAACTGAATTATTAAAATAAACAATTCAAAAAAGAGTAAGGAGTAGCTAATGCATCAAAATTGTCAGAGTGGGTTTGTATATTAGAGCAACTTGCTAAGCCCTCCCCAGAGTGGTATGATAGCTGAGTACCACAGTTCCTCATAGCATTCTGGTTGTGCATCCGTCGACAATTGAGAGGAGTCCCGGGAGACAGGCCTATGTTGTAGAGTGAAGTGAGACTGACCCTGGCAGCGAGCTGAAAGAGGCAATGAGCTGTAGATGGAAAACGGAGACACAGAAAGATTAAGGCCAACATTTTCAAACGCAGGTTCCTAAAGTTAGACACCTATCTCCATAGTAAAGCACTGACAGATTGTCAGATATGCTGGGCATCCTCAATTTCTACTGGACTCAATAGGAACTGCAGATGCTCAGCACCTCAGCAATAGATTAAGTGTCTCAGCCAAGGCTGCACAGCAACCCTAAGGCAGAGAAAGAAATAGAGATCACATCTCCTAACTGTGTTTTAACCACCAAACCACTCTTCCTAGGTGTTAGCCACTGAAAAGCCAACAAGTGATGTGAAGCTCAGGTTGTATTTGAAACCCAGGGATGAAAGCCCAGTTCCATTATTAATATCCTAAGCCTTCCAGTGCCTCCTTTAAATTAGCTATTATTCTTATAGCAGCAACAGCTAAACAGTGCAATCTTCAAGGTTTGCAGGCTGTGTTGCATCATTGTGAAATTCACATCCCCATGTACAAAAGCAATATATTTTTATATGCTTAAACTGTCTCTGAAGAATACAAGACCGAAGGGATTTTCCAAAGGATAATTGCATGCTCTTTTTTTTTTTTTTTTAACTTTACCATCTAGTCTTCAAGGATCATCTGTGTTCCCAGATACTCTTAGAACTAAAGACGAACTGTCCTTTGTGAAATTACAGATACGAGGGCATGTCCACCCATCTGCCTCTACCACCCCTCAAATGAACCTATGTCTAGATTCTGGAAGTGCACAATTATAGCTATATTTCAAGACAAAAGTACATGTTGAGGAGGTGAAAATTCTGCCACTGCCTCCCTGCACCGGGAAGGGAATTCTTCTCTTGTCTGCCTCCCCATGCAGGGTCCTGAACGCTGTACCAAAGAATTTCATCTGCAAAGGAGAGGCAGGTGAAGATTCTGCTGCTACAGGAAACATCATCATAGTCGAATTCCTAGAGCCTATGGAGAGGCTCCATTACAACAGGGCTGCTGCTGGGAAACGTAGTGCCTCAAGACTGGGATATAGCAATGAAGGACAGCTTCTTCCCCACCTCTCCATGCAGCTCATGAAGGGCTGTGAATACTAGAGTCATTTCCTTGGCCTTCAGGAGACAGTCCAATCTCAGAGGTACTATCTCCAACAGAAGAATCTGCAGTGATTCAAGTACTGTGAAGAGAACGCTAACAGATTCAAGTGGCAGCAGTGCTGGCAGAGCCACTGAAGTCAAGAGGACATGGATGAAGGGAGTGCATGTGGGGTGATGATTCTGCCACCAGTCACCCTGTTTTGGCACTGTGGGCAGTGGGGGAGAAGAGGAAAAGATACTGGCAACCAAAACCAAGAAACTGCTATGACCTCTGGTGGGAAAGAGTGCAGCTGAAGAATGGGGAGGGAAAATTACTGTACTTTGGGGAAAAATAATGGTGGCAAACAAACCTATCTTAGTGATCTGTTTGATACTTAGTCCTGCCATCAGTGCAGGGGACTGGACTAGAAGACCTCTTGGGGTCCCTTCCAGGCTTGCGATTCTATTTGGAAGATTATATGGTTCCAAGGAAACACACACCGGTTTAAATTAAAAAAAAATTATAAACTTAGTAATATTTCCATAAATTAAAAATAGCATACTGAAAAATTCCCAATTTAATCCACCAATCTTTACAAAATAGCCAAAGGCAGCAATCTTTACTGAGATCAAAGAAACAAACTGATTTTTTCAAGATGAAGGGGAGGGGGAAGAGAGTATGAATTTGCAAGCCATTGAAGTTTCAAACTCTCATATGTAACAAACATCTAATTTGATCACTGCAAAACTTTTTCTTTAAAGGCTTCATCTGGCTGGAAACCATGTCTGAAACATTGTATTTGGACTAGTTTTGGTAAATTGGAGGAAGGGTGTGTATATGTAGCCATTCAAAATTGGGGCTCTAATGGAAAAAGCTAGGAATAGCATTAACAATGCACAGACTGCGATGCCTCAATAATTAACTGGCATGACTGTAATTTCCTCTGCTTTTCTTTGTTTTTAAATACAGGAAACTACTCCATTGCCATTTTATTATTGTGGTACAGTAGTCTGTGCATTGTTAATTCTATAATTAGCCTTGCATTATAGCACTATGCCATTTTCCCTTTTATTAAAAATAAATAAATAAAAACGCAAAGAGAAAAATGGTATGTAAGAAAAATCCAAAAGGTGAGTAATGTTTTAAAGACTAGGTTAAAAAGTGTGAAATGGAAAATATGTGCAACTAGAAAATCTGCCGAATTGCAAGTCCTGACAAACTGCTTTTATGTTATTTTAATTCTTAAGACATGTTCTTTGAAAACCTAAAAAGGCCAGTGTAATGTATTTTGTCCTTTACATCCAGCATTCTTGAAAAATTTGGTATTAGTACACTACATATCTGACATGTGCAATAACCCGGAAAAATGACTTCATGTTTTTCTCTCAGTAGCCTGAGGGAAGACATGCAACCACAAAACGTCACCTGCAGGTTAGATTAATGCAGTGGTCTCCAATCTTTTTACGCCCAAGATTACTTTTTGAATTTAAGAGCAACCCAGGATCTACCCCGCCCCTTGCCCAAAGCCCCACCCTGCTCACTCCATCCCCCCCTCTCTGTCATTCCCTCTCCCCCACCTTCACTCACTTTCACCTGGCTGGGGTAGGGGGTTGGGATTCGGGAGGGGGTGCGGGCTCTGGGCTGGGGCCGAGGGGTTCGCAGTGTGGGAGGGGGCTCTAGGCTGAGCCTGGGGCAGAGTGGGGTGCAGGAGGGGGTGAGGGGTGCAAGCTCTGGGAGTTTGGATGCAGGAGGGGACTCCGGGCTGGGGCAGAGTGTTGGGGCACAGGAGGGGATACAGGGTGCTGGCTCCGGAGGGGGGTGGGCTGGGGCAGGGGTGCAGGAGGGTATATGGGGTGCTGGCTCTGGGAGGGAGGTCAGGGCTGGGGGTTGGGGTGCAGGTGTTTCAGGGTGCAGGAAGGGATTCGGGGTGCTGACTCCGGGAGGGGGCTGGGGTGCGGCCTCCTGCTGGGCAGCACTTACCTCTGACGGCTCCTGGTGTGTGGCACAGCATGGCTGCCGCTAAGACAGGTTCCCTGCCTATCCTGGCCCCACGCTGCTCCCAGAAGGAGCCAGAGCGCCCCTGCGGCCCCTGGGAGGGGGCGGGGGCCGGGGCCATGTGGCTCTGCGCGCTGCCCCTCTCTGCAAGCACCGCCCCCGCAGCTCCCATTGGCCACAGCTCCCCATTCCCGGCCAATGGGAGCTCTGGGGGCATTGCTTGCAGGCAGGAGCAGCACGCGGAGGGAGACCCCCCTACCCCGGAGCTGCTTTGGCTGCTTCCGCGAGCAGCATGGGGCCGGGGCAGGCAGGGAGCCTGCCTTAGCTGCAGCCACGCTGCACCTCCGGAGATCACGATCGACTGGTTGGTGACCCCTGGATTAATGGAATCACCAGTTCCACAGGGAACCAAACACAATAGCCAGCGTAGTCCAACAAAATAATAAAATCATAATCATAATTTAAAAAGTAAACTAATTAAATCAATACAAAAATTCTGACTGTATTGAATGGAAGTTTTCTTATAACTCATTGCTGGATAGAGATGAGTGGGCAAGTGATGGGAATAGGGAAGGACAGTGTGAAGTAGGTTAACAGCACAGCTGTGTTCATACTGTAACGACAGTATGTGATTAGTGTGATAATGTAACTGATTTGTGAGATTATGTCAGTTAAATTTAGCTCACAGAATTAGTTTGGGGTAGTTTGAGGAACAAACACCTCGGCTGTAATATATATATCGATTACGTGATCACAAAGAGAATACAAAAAGCTGGAGAGCACTCGAGCAGAACTCAAGGAAAGAAAAGGAGGTGTTTTAAAAGAGAGGCCTTTGCAAAGAAAAAACTCTGTCCCTACTGAAGTGTTCAATCAGGAAGCGAGATTCAGTTTGCCAGTTTCAAAGGCTTTAGTGTCAAAGTAAAGAGTCACTGCAATGAACACTGCCAGAACACAAAAATAGTTTAGTAGCCTATATGTTCTTGAAGTCGGTAGTGGTTCCTGGGAGGAGAAAAAAAGCATAACATCTTAAAAACAAGCTCCGTTATTTTCTTTTTTCCTTTCAAGGATATATGGCTATAAAGAATAGTATTGTGGCTAACTAGTCTTGACACATATGTGTGTACTGGGATACACGTAGATTTAGGAGCTTTCATTGACCAAACATATCCTGTCTACTTTAATTGCCACTTTTTCTTCTCCCACCTCCTTATTATTCACTTTCCCTGTCTTTCCAAAATATTGCACCTCCAGTCATCATCCTCTCCCATCATTCTGACATTTCATCCCCCACCCCCTGAATTTGTATCCCTCTTTTCATATAATATTCAAACTCCCTGTCCTCACCTTCAAAGCACTGCACATCTCCATCCTTGCCTACATCTCAGCTCTTCCTACATTCCTCCCACCCCTTACGGTCTGCAAGATCCTCTCTACTGAAGTCAGTGAGAACCTTTCTGTTAACTTCAATGGTCTGTAGATCAGCCATTAAAGGAGGACACTTTTAAAATAAAATGAGTTTAAGTTTAGTTCACCCTTTGCATTTAATGAGGCAGGATCCTGTGGAAAAACAGTATGTTATCACAGAATAAAGATTGCCATAATGCATACACACAAGGGGGTGGAGTTACGGTTGTACAGTAGTTAGTAACTTTTGAGTGCTTGAAAATGTAATAAATAACATTATTTTAATATGTTTTTGTATGTAACTATAGTAACAATCAATGAGATAGCAGCAGTTGGGTAGGATGGAGATAAATTTGTCTATTTACCCTTCTTATCAGCATTATCCCGTGTTCCTTAATCTCCACCCAGTGTCCTCTACTCATTGCCCCATTTGTCTTCTTTGCCCACTCCTGACTCCATGACTTTCTGCATCCCACCCAATACAGTAACTCCTCACTTAACATTGTAGTTATGTTCCTGAAAAATGCGACTTTAAGCAAA